AGAAGAAGAAGAAGAAGAAGAAGAAGAAGAAGAAGAAGAAGAAGAAGAAGAAGAAGAAGAGGAAGAAGAAGAAGTGAAATGGAGATAGTCTAAAGGTGGGGAGAGGTTTCTTTTCCCTAAATTCAGCTTGAGATGGCTATACAAATAAGCCAAATAAAGATGACCTTCAGATAATCGGGAGAAATTGCCTCAAGGGAGAGAGTGTGGAGGTGAAGAAACAGATCTGGGAAACAGACTGTAGGGAAAGAGGGAAGGCTGAGCTCATTCAGGGAGAGAATTTGCAAATAGAAGCCTGGAACTGAATTTTTGAAGAATGGTGAAAGGTTACAGGATACCTGAAAGTTCACTGGAGAACTAATGCATGCGTGGTGAATGAATGAATTAAAGCAAACCATTAAGGAATAAACCGTGGAAAGTGAGGATGGCACTGTGGACGGAATGAGTGCTAAGGTAGGGCCGGTGTGAAAGAGGCAACCCAGAAAATAATAGTCCCAGGTTTCTTGATCCAGAGTAACCATGGGAGCTGGACTGAAGGAAGTTACTCATCTGAAAAGTGGGGGGTGACAATTCTGGTATGTGCTTCACAGGATTCCTGTGAGGATTAAATGAATTTACACCTGTAAAGCTCACAGAACAGTACCTGACATCTAACACTATGTGTTTGCTACTATAATAACTGGACTCAGACTCCCAAATCCTGGGTTTGAGTCCTAACTTGGGCAAGTCCCTTCACCTCCCTTAGTCTCCTTCCTCATCTGAAATTGGAGATAATAAAACTGACTTTACAGGTTGGCTGTGAAAGAAGACACTGGAAAGGGCTGTGAAAAATTTAAACTATTGTACAAATGGATGGCATTATTAGAGCTCCCCCTCCTCAACCTTCAATAAAAGCTTAAAAGCGAATATCAGATGCTATGTTACAGACATTGTGCTTAGTACTTTACAGTATCATCCCATTCAATCTTTAAAACTTTAAGAGGTTGGGTACTATTATTATCCCTGTTTACAGACAAGAAACTGGGTCTCAGAGTTTAAGCCTGATTTGCCCAAAGTCACAGAGCGCGAAAGTGGCAAAGCAGAGCGCAAGATTCCAAAGCCCAAGCTCCTGAGGATTATCGATGTGGCCCAAACTGTTGCCTGCAGGATAAATAATTGGCCTTGTAGAACTGTCAGGAATTCAGGGAAGGAAACCGAGTAACCAACAGAAATCCCCTCTCAGTAGGAGAGACATTGTTGGGTAATGACTGGAAGAAATTCTTGGATATTTATTCTTTTATTAAAACAAAAAGTTTAATGCCCTCTGGGTGCCAAGCGCTGTGTCAGGGAAGGGATGACAGCCCAGGTTGGCCTCTGACAGGCTGTTTTCCTCCACTTTCTTTACTCCCAGGTTTCCTCGTGTTCCACGTAGGGTTTTGCTAATTTCCCCACCTCCTGGCTTGTGATCCAGGCAAGCAGACGGTCGCGGGACCCAGATGGAGAGCCTAGCCGCCCCCTCCTCCCCTTCCCGCCGCCCTTCTCTTTCCCCCGCTACAGGTGAGCGGGAACTCTGGGGCGAGAGCCCGCAACAGCCGCGCCTCGGCAACCATAGGCTCCTCGGCGGATCCCCGCCTCGCGCGGGGCGTAACCGCCACTCCTACCTCTTGCTCTCCAGCTTCGCGAACAATGACCGCCGCCGCCCCGCCCACCTTTGGCGTCACGATCAAAACAGTCCTCTAACTACAACTCCCAGAAGGCCGAGCGGCTGCGCGAGCCCAGCAGCCGGAGGCCGTTCTGGCAAAACTACACATCCCGAGGGGCATCGCGCGCCCGCAGCTTCTCCAGTGCGCAAGTGCAGAACCGCCTTTGTTTCCGGCGTGGATCTGGGCGAGTGTGGCGTGCAGTTGGGTTTAGCTGGTGCCGGGGCTCCTCGGTTTACCGTTTTGGCTTTGTGGCTGCGCAGGTGTGATAATAAGCTCAGGAATGCAACCGTCGCCCCCTTAGGGCCAGGACAGATTTCGGCATCTGGGGGTCCCCGGACAGAAACCGGACTTAACAGCTGCGGTTCGCGATCGGAAATCATTCTTCACTTTTTCTCGACGTTTTCTAGTCTACGAAGTAATTTTTTTCCCTTCAGCAGTCCCCAGAACAACACTTTGTGAGAGGAAGCGTAAGTGCCTCCAGTTGAGAGCGGAGGAAAAGGTCCAGGGAGATAAGGTGATTTGTCTAATGACAGTACTAGCAGTTGCTGAGCGGGGCGTTAATGCTCTTTTCTAAGTCCAAACCCAGTATTCTCTGCTTTGCATCCAGGTTGCAGACGCCCTTTCTTGTTGACTAAGAGAGTTGGGGAGTGGGCATTTGTTGCCTTCTCTGGAGGTGATATAATCAAGTCTTAAGGTCAATGTGTAGATAAAATTTTCTTTTGTCTGAATCATTTATTCACTCGGTGTATTTTTGAGGTGCCTTCGGGTTGTCAAGCCCTATTCTCTTCTAGATTCTAGAGATACTGCAGCAAACCAAACTGCCCAACCCTTACATTCCAGTGGGGGTAGACAGACAATAAACAAATATTTAGCGAGACAGGTGGTGATCACAGTTAAGGAGAAAAATAAAGCAAGGTAAGGGGAAATATCCATGGGAGGATTTTGAACAGCGTCCTAACTTCCGTTTAGATCTGATAATTAATTTGTGTTCTAGGCACAGCAGCTACACAGAAAAGATGGGAGAGGAGGCCAATGATGACAAGAAGCCAACAACTAAATTTGAACTAGAGCGAGAAACAGAACTTCGCTTTGAGGTGGAGGCATCTCAGTCAGTTCAGTTGGAGCTGCTGGCTGGCATGGCAGAAATCTTTGGCACAGAGCTGACCCGAAACAAGAAATTCACCTTTGATGCTGGTGCCAAGGTGGCTGTTTTCACTTGGCATGGCTGTTCTTTACAGCTGAGTGGCCGCACCGAGGTGGCTTATGTCTCCAAGGACACACCTATGTTGCTTTATCTCAACACTCACACAGCCTTGGAACAGATGAGGAGGCAGGCGGAGAAGGAAGAAGAGCGAGGCCCCCGGGTGATGGTAGTGGGCCCCACTGATGTGGGCAAGTCCACAGTGTGCCGTCTACTGCTCAACTACGCAGTGCGTTTGGGCCGCCGTCCCACTTACGTGGAGCTGGATGTGGGCCAGGGCTCTGTTTCCATCCCTGGTACGATGGGGGCCCTCTACATTGAGCGGCCAGCGGATGTTGAAGAGGGATTCTCTATCCAAGCCCCTCTGGTATATCATTTTGGCTCCACCACTCCTGGCACCAACATCAAGCTTTATAATAAGGTCAGAGCCAGAGCCAAGGTGGGATGGAGGGAAGGGCTGCTATCAGGGTAGGAAGCTTTGCAAAAGTGTGCTAATTAAAACCGTCTATGACCATTTCTTTGCTCCCTCTGAGCTGGTATTACTGCCACGTGATTTCGGAAAAGACATTTTCAAATATAAGTCAACGTCAGATTGTTAAACGTTTGTGTGGCCCTGTTCTGAAGTAACTTACTAAATTTCTACTTAGGATATGAAACTGTAGAAGAAGCAACATAAAAATGGAAATCCATGTTACGAGTTAAAACCACAGTCATTAAGAATGTCATTTTTTTCTTGTACCTAATAGCCACTTACTCTATGTAGCTATGAGTTTGTTCTTTTTCTGTTTCTTTTCCTCACCTTGATGCTCTCTTCTGCAGATTACATCTCGTTTAGCGGACGTGTTCAATCAAAGGTGTGAAGTGAACCGAAGGGCCTCTGTGAGTGGCTGTGTCATTAATACCTGTGGCTGGGTCAAGGGCTCTGGGTACCAGGCCCTGGTGCACGCAGCCTCAGCCTTTGAGGTAGATGTGGTTGTGGTTCTGGATCAAGAACGACTGTACAATGAACTAAAACGGGACCTGCCTCACTTTGTCCGCACTGTGCTGCTCCCCAAATCGGGGGGTGTGGTTGAACGCTCCAAAGACTTCCGGCGGGAATGTAGGGATGAGCGTATCCGTGAGTATTTCTATGGATTCCGGGGCTGTTTCTATCCCCATGCCTTCAATGTCAAATTTTCAGATGTGAAAATCTACAAAGTTGGGGCACCCACCATTCCAGACTCCTGTTTGCCTTTGGGCATGTCTCAGGAGGACAATCAGCTTAAGCTAGTACCTGTCACACCTGGCCGAGATATGGTGCATCACCTCCTGAGTGTTAGCACTGCTGAGGGCACAGAGGAAAACCTTTCTGAGACCAGTGTGGCTGGCTTCATTGTGGTGACCAGTGTGGACCTGGAACATCAGGTGTTTACTGTTCTCTCTCCAGCCCCCCGCCCACTGCCTAAGAACTTCCTTCTCATCATGGATATCCGGTTCATGGATCTTAAGTAGGGATTGGCAAGAAGCCTTGCTGCCTGGGGCATTAGAGATCTTGTGGCCATCACCAAAGGCAGATAGGCTGAGGTATGAGACTCTGTTGAGGCCATGCAGATGAGTAAATAGTGAACTAGTAGATAGCGTATTTCTACCTCTTAAAACAGGTGGTGGAAACCCAACTCTTCTGATCTTGAACCATAAGGACAACCATGAGAACATAATTGGTTTTTTGGGATCACCAAAGGTACCACTTTGAATTCTCTGAGGTCCCAGAGAATCCCATTTCTTCCACTATGCTACTTGGTGGACTGATTTTTAGGAGGAATTTTTTTTATTATCACTGCTTTATATTCTGTATGTAGCACTTACTATCTCATTTATCCAGGATGAAAGATTGAATCAGAAGGCCTGTTTCTAATAAAATTCAAACTTGGAAAATTTTAATAAATATTTTTGCCATATCACAGAAGTTGGTATAATTTTTTTAAATTTTGTTTTTTCCCCCTAAGCAAGATGGAAACATTATTGGAATGAGTTATTGCTAAATGCTTAGAGGAGAGGAAAGCCAAGAGCCCACCTGTGAGCCAAGCAGGTGAATTTTTGTAATGGCTCTCCTCTCCTTTCCTCGTAGGTAAATAGATGCTAAATCTGTTATCAATGCCAGGTTTACTCTGAGGAGCTACAGGGGCTGGTGATAAGCTTGGATTGAGATTTCTGGTCTAATCATTTTCCAGACATAGCCCATTTGCTCTCAGTTGCAGCAATTTTTCTGTTGTCCGTCTGATTGGAACTGGGCCCTAGGTCAGTGTAAATTGAGCTTTCAGGTGGTAACAAACTGGGAAAGCCCCATTCTCTGATTTCTTGCAAATGATTTGTGTTCCTAGTTTAGACTGGCTTATTGAATACTATCTAAAGCCCTTCATCCATTCATTCTTTTCACAAATATTTATTGAGCGTCTATTTGCCAGGAACAATTCCAGATGGGGCACAAGTTAGACAAAGTCTTACAGAGCTTTCATAGAATAAACAAACAAAAAAGGCAAGTGCTATGCAGAGTTACAATTGGGTGGTCTGAGACAGAGTGACTAGGAAAATGCTTTAGATTGGGTGGTCAGGAAAGGCCTCCCCTGAACACATTTCACATTAAGACCTGAATGGCTGTGTGAAATTGGGACATCTTCCTGCTGGAGGGAACAGTGCAAAACCCTAAGAAGGGGGAAAAAAACCCCCAAAACGATGTATTTGATGAACGGAAAGGCTGGTGTGGTGCATCAAGGGGCGATTGGTAAAAATTGAGGCTGGAGGGGGCAGTAGAGACCAGATAATGTAGGGCTCTTGTAATCTATAAGAGCAGTGGCAGAGGATGGGAGAGGGGTGGTGGTGTCTTAGTTCCTTGATGCTGCTATATAACAAAATGCCACAGACTGCGTAACTTATAAACATCAGAGATTTCTCACAGTTCTGGAGGCAGGAAATTCCAACGTCAAGGCACCAGCACGGTCATGTTCTGATGATGGCTGTCTTTGGGGTTGCAGACTGCCTACCTCTAGCTATGTCCTCACACAGAAGGGCCAAGGATGCACTGTGGAGCCTCTTTTATAAAGGCACTAATCCCATTCATGAAGGTTTTACATTCATGATCTAATCTCAAAGGCCCCACCTCCTAACACCATCATCTTTGGGGCTTAGGATTTCAACATAATTAATTTGGGGGGACATATTCCAGACCAAAGCAGGTGGTTAAACAGCAGGTGGACTGATTTTTAGGAGGAATTTTTTTTTATTATCACTGCTTTATATTCTGTATGTAGCACTTACTATCTCATTTATCCAGGATGAAAGATTGAATCTTTGGGAAGGCAGAGGAATGGCTCTGATTTTGAAAAGATGCTGTGTGGAGAATGGATTATAGAGGGAGGAGTAGGAGCAAGGGTATGTGAGGAGACTTGCGGTAGTTTCAATGTGAGAATTGATGGGGGGGTGGGATTAGACCAGCCGAGGTGCAGTAGGAGAGTAGATTGCCTTGGGATCTTTTGGAAGTAAGATGGGACTTGCTGATGGGAGTGGTGAGAAAAAGAAAATAGAATCAAAGTTGATTCCTGTATTTGTTACCTGAGCAACTAGATTGGATAGATTGGGGAAATCAGGGGATGAGGGAATATCAAGGGTTCTACTTTAGCAATATTAAGTTTCAGTCTACTAGTCATATGGAGATGCTGTGTGGACACATGGAAACAAGAAGCTAGAAGGTTTGGGGAAGTTAGGGCTGAAGGTTCATGGGAGCTGTTGGCTTACAGAAGGCTTTTTAAGGCAGTAGTACTGGATGAAGTCAGTTAGGGGCTCTGTAAATGGAAATCAGGAGACAGAGATGGACTTTCAGGGCACTCCAAACATAAGAGGTGAAGTGAAGTGTAATGGGAGTTAGCAAAGGAGACTGGACTATGGATCTGGAAGCATGGATGTCAGTATTGACCTTAGAGGTGTAGTTTTGGAATGGTAGGGATAAAAGTTCTATTGAAACACATATATTATTGAAGAAGCAGAGATAACCTCTACAGACAAGAAGCTTTGCTAAGAAAGGGAGGGGCTGGATGTAGGGTCAAGGGAGGGTTTGTTGTTATTTTTTTTTTAGATAGGATGCCTCAGCATATCAACAGACTAGAGAGAGAATTTAATGATGGGGAGGAGAATCTTCTTGACATCATTCTATTTTTTTCTGTATTTTTCCCAAACACAGCGTCCACAACGTTGGGTGTAGAGATTACTTAAAAATAAAATCTTAAGGGATGCCTGGGTGGCTCAGTCGGTTAAGCATCTGCCTTCAGCTCAGGTAATGATCCCAGGGTCCTGGGATCGAGCCCCTGCATCAGGATCTCTGCTCAGCAGGGAGCCTGCTTCTCCCTCTGCCTGCAACTCCCTCTGCTTGTGCTCTCTCTGACAAATAAATAAAATCTTTAAAAAAATTAAAAAAAAAACAACCTTGGGATAGTGATTATGCCATCCTTAGTGCTCATCTAGCTAAAAGGTTGGCATCCAGTAGTCCAGTGTCTTAGGAGAGCTTTAGTGTGTGTGGTTGGTTGGTGAAAGATCAAATTTTTATTTTCATTTGGCAGTGTCTAGTCAAAAGACAAGACAATTTACAGGTTCTTAGACGGCTGAAAGTAGGAAAAGAAAGATGCCTAACTTGTAAAGTTGGGGAAATGGAAGTCTTAAAATCCAAGAAAAATAAACAGTAGAAAAATGAAATTTGATTTCTTCCTAAGGAAACAAATTAACCGGATAGAAAAGTCTCTATAATACTGTATCTCCAATAATAACTTTACCTTTCATATGAGCTAAAGTGTTTTAAAGATTTTTTTTTAATACACACTGGTCATTAAAAGAGAACTCTCTAGTGTGTTGCAATAAATGGTGGCTTGAAGTCCTTAACAAGAATGAACGAGACCCTGATACATATGCCATGTCAGAGGAGGTAGACTAGACCCCAGAAAACTGAAGGTAGACCTTTTCCCCTTTACCTTGCTGCCTAGTACTAAAGTATTAGACCACAGTTAAACCAAGAACATTTGACACCAAACCCGAGGACAGACCGCAGGAATTAGAATCACACTTTACAGGTGAGCAACTTTGGCTTCAGAGAAGTGGCTGCTGGAACACTTTTTTGAAAGACTGTTATGTAATAGCCAGAGCTCCTTTCAAAAGAGAAATGGCCTTGAGCTAAATGAGGAGAGAACACCTGACCTTGCTCTTGGGTTCACAGCTGCGTAGGGCTAATTAGGGCAAAAGTATGGCTCTCGAATCTGTAGAGACAGCCAGCAGCTCGCCAGGGACGGCCAGATTCCAGCCTGAGTTCCCGGCCTGGGGCGAAGTTAGGAAAGCGGGCGCCCATCCCTTGTGCTGCTGTGAGAAACTAAGGGAACGAAGCCAAGAGCCCGCTCGCGCTCTGGGGGGCTGCCACCGCCTCAGGGGGCGCTCACTCCCTGCGCTTCCTTCCACCGACGGCACTAGCTGTGCGGACTGCAAGTCTCTCGCCGATGTCCTTCCTCTTCCTCCCGGGCCTTTGGCAGGAGCTTCGCCCCACACGACCCTACCAGTCCTGGCGCCCCCTCCATGCGGGAGCTACAGCCAGACCGTTCCATTAGCCCGCGATTCCGCCGCTAACACGTAGCTCGCTCCACCGAGGACGCCTCCATTAAGATCGCTTTAAATAAAGTTATCGCCATCGGAAAAATAAAAAAAGGCGGTGGGAGGGTGGGAGCTATTCAGTCGCCAAGCGGTTGGCCAATGCACGAAGGGGCTGATCCGGGAGGACGGCGGGGCCGACCGATGATTGGTTGTGCTGGAAGCCTGTCTGGACCGTACCACACTTAGTCGGAGGGGGTCTGGAGAATGAGGATGGCTCCTCGCTTTTGAGTATTTCCAGCACTCACATATAACTATTTTTACTTCCGAGGATTTCTTCTTGAATACTGTTGGAATTGAAAATAGGACGCAGGAAAACGAAAGACTCGCCCAGCCACTTCCCCATTTCTGACTCCTGCGCAGTACGCCAGTCCTCCTGTCCCAGTCGTCTGCGGAACCCGACGGCCGTGCGCGCGCGCGCTCGTTCTCTAGCGTGCGTACGGCGCTGTGCTTCTGCAGCCAATCAGGCCGCGAGGTCGCCGCGGTCGCCGGGTTCGCGCGCACGCCCTAGAGCGGAGTGGGGGTGGGGGCTATGGGTGAATGGGAGAGTGAGCGGAGGCGGGCGCGGCGTCGCGAGCCGCATGAATGAGAGAAACGGGCCCCGCGCGAGACGTCGCGCGCGCCCGGGACAGGGAGCCAATGGGAACGCTGGGGGGGCTCGAGACCCGGCGCTGAGGGCAACGGCCGCGCGCCGGCTCGAAGACGAGCGTCGCCGGGCGGGGGCGCGCGTAGCAGGGCGGGCGTGGAGCGTGCGGGGGCCGCGCGCGGCCTCTCAGAGGCCGGACGGCACTGCCAGGAGGCGGCGGCGACAGCGACGGCGGCGGTGACGGGAACCGCGCCGGGGGTGAGTACCGGGGACACCGGCCCCTGCGGAACCGGAAGTGCCGGGCCAGTGAGGTGGGAGGGGAGAGTGACCTCTAGGGAAGGGGGACCGAGGAGGGGGGGGAGGTGGCTTGAGGCCCCATTCCTACCCCCGGGCCGGGTCATCCAACTGCGGCGGGACCCGTGGGCCCCGGAAACGGACGACGAGTAGAGGCCGGGGATCCGCGGCCGCCGGGGCACTGAACGGGTTAGTGCCCGGTCGCCCGGTCCTGGCTCGGGACCTCCGTGCCTGGCGCTCGGCCGCCGCCCCTTCCGCCCCCGGCCCTGCGCCCCGGGGCTCTGCCGTCTCCCGCAGCCTCAGTGGGCCCTACCGCCGCGTATTCCGTCTTCTCGGTCTCAGCCAGCTCTGCCCCAAATGGTGATTCTCCCTACCCCAGCTCCGGGGTGGGGACGGGGTGCTGT